CATGAAACGGTGTTATAAATCAAACTACACACTAATCTCAATCGGTCATTAATCGTCCATCGTTTAGATGACCTTGATTAGGGATAATTTTCGATTATAATATTCAATGTTCACTAAATAGGTGTTTCCTTACCAAGACTGGTCTTGATACCCTATTTTGAATATTCTCAGAATCGAATGGACTCATTATTTAATCCTAAACCACAATTAAATAGCATAACAGAGTAATAAAATATTGCATGAAATTTTATATTACCATAATTAATTAGCATCTTACATTAATTTTTCTCAAAATTAACTAAAACACTAAACAAGGAAATCAAAGCCAGTCTCCTACATGCTTGATTCTCATTGCCTCAACGTGGTTGTTGTGCTTCACTTGAGGCAAAGGTTTAGTAAGTGGATCAGCTACATTGTCATCAGTTCCAACTTTGCAAACTCTGATTTCACGCTCTGATTTCCATTCTCGAATCCTCTGCACCACCATACACCGGGAATTTATCCTTGTTCCTTTTCAGGTACTTTAGGATATTTTTGGCCGCAGTCCAATGCGCATTTCCTGGGTCTGATTGGTAACGGCTCGTAGCACACAAGGCATACGATACATCTGGCCTAGTACATATCATGGCATACATGATCGATCCAATAAGCGAAGCATATGGAATCTGATTCATTCTTACCCGCTCATCAAGTGTCTGTGGACACTGCTTCTTGCTTAGGGTTATGCCATGTGACATTGGGAGGTGACCTCTCTTGGCCTCCTCCATGCCAAATCGAGCAAGTACCTTATCAATATAAGTACTCTGACTCAATCCAATCATCCTTTTCGATCTATCCCTATAAATCTTGATGCCTAGTATGTACTGAGCCTCTCCCAAGTCTTTCATTGAGAAGCACTTTCCAAGCGAGGCCTTCATAGACTCTAACAATGGAATGGTGTTTCCAATGAGCAATATGTCATCGACATGTAAGACTAGGAAGGCGATGTCACTCCCACTAACCTTCTTGTAAACACAAGATTCTTCTGGATTCTTGATAAAACCAAACTTACTGATGGCTTCATCGAATCGCAGATTCCAACTTCTGCTTGCTTGCTTTAGTCCATAAATGGAATTCTTAAGCTTTCAAACTTTCTAGCATTGTTTTGGTCGACAAAACCTTCAAGCTGTGTCATATACACAGTTTCTTCCAAATAACCATTAAGGAAAGCGGTTTTGACGTCCATCTGCCATATTTTATATTTGTAATATGCAGCAATCGCTAGGAGGATCCGAACGGATTTAAGCATTGCGACTGGTGAAAAGGTTTCATCGTAATCAATACCATGAACTTGTTTGTAACCTTTTGCCACCAATCTAGCTTTGTAAATGAATACATTTCCATCTTTGTCGGTTTTCAACTTGAAAATCCACTTACATCCGATAGGTGTATAACCTTCGGGTAAGTCAACCAAGTCCCAGACTTGATTTTCAAACATGGAATCCATTTCAGATCTCATGGCCTCTTGCCATTTAGTAGAGTCGGTGCTTGTCATCGCTTTCTTGTAGGTTGTCGGTTCATCTCCATCCATAATTAGGATGTCCTGATTCTCGGTTAATACTAAACCAAGATATCTATCAGGTTGAGATCTCGGCCTCTGAGACCTACGTAGGGTAATGGATTGAGCATTTGCATTGTCGGTTCGACTTTGCACATTTTGATCATTTTGACCTGCGTGAACAGATGTTGTTTGAGCACTTTGACTGTAATTATGATTTTGTTGCTCATCCTCACGAACTTCGTCGAGTTCGATTTTCCTCCCACTTGTCATTTTGGAAAGGTGGTCCTTCTCCAAAGAGACACCATCGCGAGCAACAAACACTTTGTTCTCCGATTTGTTGTAGAAGTAATACCCTTTGGTTTCTTTTGGGTAGCCCACAAAATAAACGTTGTCAGATTTGGGATGAAGTTTGTCATAAATAAATTTCTTGACATATGCTTTGCATCCCCATATCTTTAGAAAACATAACCTAGGAGGTTTCTTCGTCCATAATTCATATCGAGTATTTTCTAGAGCTTTTGATGGAGCACGGTTCAGTGTTAGTGCCGCAGTTAGAAGTGCGTGTCCCCAGAAAGAGATAGGAAGATCACTAAGACCCATTTTTTATCGTACCATGTATAACAAGGTTCGATTTCTCCTTTCGGATACTCCGTTCCATTGCGGAGTTCCTGGAGGTGTCAATTCTTAAAGTATACCCTTTTCTTTCTGATGGTAATCGAATTCTTGGCTCAAGTATTCACCACCTCGATCTGATTGAAGGGCTATGATTTTCTTACCAAGCTGATTTTCAACTTCACTCTGAAATTCTTTGAACTTTTCAAATGATTCAGATTTATGCGACATGAGGTAGACATATCCATATCTACTATAGTCGTCAGTGAAAGTGATGAAATATCGATGTCCATTTCTTGTGGTTGACCTCATTGGTCCACATACATCGGTATGTATAAGACCCAATAAGTCACTTGCCCTTTCTCCCAACTTGGAGAATGGTTATTTAATCATCTTGCCTAATAGACATCCCTCGCAATTCTCAAACGATTCTAAATAGAAAGAGTAAAGAACACCTTCTTGTAGAAGTTTCTTAATGCATTTGATGTTGATGTGGCCAAGACGACAATGCCACAAGTAAGTCTGATTTGATTCTATGGTCTTAGATCTTTTTGTATCATTATTCACATTATAAACTTGTTTGTCTAAAGAAAGCACATAAAGGCCATTTTCAGAATGTGCAATACCATATAAAACATTATCCAGATATAACGAACATTCTTTGTCCTTTACTTGAAATTCAAAACCTTTGGCGTCCAACGCCGAAATTGAAATAATGTTTTTGGTAATGTTAGGAACATAATAAACATTATCGAGTTCCAAAACTAGCCCGGTGGGAAAAGACAAACTGAGAGTTCCTACGGATACGACACCAATTCTGGCTCCATTGCCGACCCGGAGTTCAATCTCTCCCTTCTCTAGCCTTCTAGCGTTCCTTAGTCCCTGAGAATTGGAAAAAAGGTGTGATTCCACATCCGGTATCTAATACCCATGATGTTAAGCTAGTGAAGTTAAAGTGTATAACGAATATACCTAATTCAGAAGCAATGGTTCCGTTCTTCTTATCTTCCTTGAACTTGAGGCAATCTCTCTTCCAATGTCCCTTCTTCTTACAGTAGAAACATTCGGAATAAGTTTTAGAAGACGCTACCTTCTTATCCTTGGTAGCTTTAGACTTAGGCGGAAAAGTTTTCTTCTTACCTTTCCCCTTAAAGCCTTTCTTCTTCTTGCCCGAAAATTTGAACGGCTTGCCCTTTTTAATCATGAACATATCATGCTTTCCCTCATCCTTGAGCGTTTGCTCAGCTTCCTTCAACATACCATGAAGCTCGGTGAGGGTTTTCTCCATGATGTGCATATTATAGTTCATCTTGAACTGATCATAGCCTTTGTGCAGCGAGTGGAGAATGATGTCAATTCCCACCTCGGTTGAATACCCCACATCAAGCCTTCCCATGTTTTCAAACAATCTAATCATTTTGAGTACATGTGGGCTGACTGGCTTTCCTTTCTTGAGCTTGATCTCAAGGATCTGCCTGTGGGTTTTAAACCTTTCAGTTTGGGCCTGCTCTTGGAACATATTCTGCAATTCAGAAATGATCTCAAAAGCCGTCTCTTTTTCAAAGAAAGTCTTTTGAAGCTCAGGAGACATTGTGGCCAATATGATGCATTTGACATCTCGATTGACACTTTGCCATCGATTTAGGGCAGCTTGAGTCACCTCCTCATTGGGAGCCTCGGGCCACTAGTAGAAAAATGTACATTTGCGTCGCCATATTTGTGTCATTCATTCTAAGGAGCGAAGCAAATGTTTATTTTTACCATCCTTTTAAGTTATTTGCGTCGCATGTTATTCAAGAAGCGACGCAAAACTCAAGTGCATTTCAGCTTTCTCTCATTTGCGTCGCTCTTATTTATTAAAGCGACGCAATTAATAAACTTATTTGTGTCACTCATTTGTTAACAAGCGACGCAAATAAGTGATTAAGTAAATTGCGTCACGCTTTTACTACATGAGTGACGCATATGAGCTGTGTACAATAAACAAGGTTATTTGCGTCGCTTTTTTATAATAAAGTGACGCAAATAACTCTTTTGACTTTAGGTTTTCTGCGTTTTTTTACCTTCGCCTACATTCACTAATCAAAAAGAAAAAAAACAAGAGTTCTTCAATTCCAGTGAATTTCTACAGCAAAACACCCACAAATTCGTCTCTGAAACCCAACAAATTAGGCCAAAAAACTGCGATTCCCCAGCAAATTTAACATCTAAATTAAAATTGCAGTCAAGTTGAAGCAAATCCGAGCAATTTCGAGCAAAAATTTAGACCAAAAACCCCAAGAAATTCGAACCCTTAAACCTAGAAAAATGATTGTTTCCGACCAAAAATCCCCCATTTCGAGCAAAAAATCAACTCAAACGCGTTTTGGAATGATAGGTTTGATCCTCAGTCTTATGTTCAGTCCAAATTCTCTCTTAATGAGAAGGTAATTTGATTTTGTGCTTAATTTGTGTTTAAGTTCTTTAATTTTGTTCTTAATTTGTGTTCATTTTTGTTGAAATTAAAATTTCGAGTTTGTCAGAAATTGTGATTTTCTTATTTTTATTTATTGTTGATTATTTGAAATTAGAAGAAAGAGAGGAATTTTAATTTATTTTTAGTTGATAATGAAGAATGAACAAATGATAGAATGATGATTAATTATCCATTTCAGTGCTCGAAAACAGACGAAATGGTTAGTACTCTAGTTTTAAGGCAATTGGGTCAGATTAATTATCTATTTTATCATACTGATCCGTTCTTTCATTGTATGGTTAAAGGTGGTATGCAAAACGATTTCTACATCCTGACATTGTGGCACCATATGATTACATATTTATCTGGGACGAAGATTTGGGAGTGGATAAATTTGATTCTGAAAAGTTAGCACTCTTTCTCCATCATATCCTCTAATGTCTTGAGATATTCAGTACAAAACTTTTGTCATTTTTTTTATTGAATTTCCAGATACGTTGATTTGGTTAAGAAACATGGTTTGGAAATTTCACAGCCTGGTGTGGATCCTAATAGTCCGTTTACATGGCAGATGACAAGGAAAAGACATGACAGTGAAGTTCACAAGTAATAACTACTAATGATGTATAATTTATGTCCAGTTATCTTCCTTTGCAACAGAAGCAGGATTTCGATATTAATTACCAAAATATTGATCTGAGTTGTTTCTTGGGTGCACTTTGCAGGAGCACAGAGGAGAAACCAGGATGTTAAATTTCAGTTAAATTGTTCAATTTTTGCTACAAAAATGGAGAATGATTCTTCCAAGAAAATTGAAGTTTCTTCCCTAAACCCCAATTTACAATCAAGAGGTGCTTTAGTTGTATTAGAAGGGTTAGATCGAAGTCGAAAGAGCTCTCAGTGTATTCAGCTTCTCTCTCACTTGCAAAGTATTGGGTGTTCTACTAAGTTATGGCGGTTTCCGGATCGAAATACTGCTGTTGGGCAGATGATCTCTACTTATCTTTCCAATCAATCTAATTTGGATGATCATACTATTCATCTTTTGTTCGGTGCTAATCGTTGGGAGAAAATGTTGTTTCTTTTTTCATTTTATGATTGTTTTTTTTATACATAATTTGTGAGTTGCATACCATGTGTTTGATGTTATGTTTAGCTGAATCTAATTCCTTTCTACGTTGTTATTTATTGGTTAATTTGGGTAATTCGTTCTCGGTTATATTACATTCTGAAGATTGTAGTTGGAATTATGATAGATTACTTTTAAAAAACTGTCTTTATTCCCCTGAGATTTTGAAATATATACAAGTATATTGGGACAGAGTTCAGAATGTGATTTAATGTTGTAAACTTTACTTCTTCATGAATCTGTTTTTTTGGTGATATGCTTGTTTAGTTGTTGACTTTGTCATCTACAATTACAGATCAATGATGGAAGAAAAGTTGAAAACCCATCTTCGAGTGAGTGTGATGTATGTTGACAACTTGCTTTGAAGATTCCAACTCTTAGTAATCAACCAGTTCACTCAGGCATATCTCTATTTAGTCGCAATATGATCACAATTCTCTTTGTGCAGGCACCAGAGATAGGATTGTTGGCTCCATACATGGTCTTATACCTAGATATATCACCAGAGGTATACTTTCATTCAAATAGGCATGATAGGAATTTTGCCTTTAGTTTCACTGATAAGAATTTATGGGGCGTACCATTTATTTGGTAAGATCTGAGACATGGCTGTTAAACCAAATCTTAGTTTTTCATAGCGTGCATCAGACTGTACAATTTTAATGCACTAAATTGAATAAGTATGCCAATTGCTTTACTGTTGTATGACTTTCCATCTTTATCATGGTCCTTAGTTGAAAGAAGGTTATACAATTTACAAATAATTAATAATATATTCGAAAAAAAATTCAAGGCGCATCTTATTGTAATATCTGTAAAGGCAAGTCATATTCCACCAAATCTTAAAAATTCAGATCAAAGCATATCCTAATATCTTTTTTTTTATAAATGCCGAAAGAGGTGGTTATGGTGATGAAAGATACGAGCGTCTTGATTTTCAAGGGAAGGTCAGAGAAAAATACCAGGCTCCTCATGATGCCTCATGGAAGGTAATTTCTATTCATGATTCCTTAAAAACTTATAGCTTGCAATGTTTATTTTGCGATTTTGGTAAGGCTGTAAGGTTAATAGGTTTGACAGTGGTGACTTTATCTTGCATAGTGTCATTAGAGTGATGCTTGCAATATTATGTAGTGCAGGTTATAGTATTTTTCTTTTACTTAAACATGTTCCAGTTTCTTGCAATGTTCTTTTTATTTTTGTAAATTATGTAAACGAATCATCATAATAAAAAATAGTATCGCGCGCAATTTTCCGTCTTGCTCTAAGGTGGAAAGTGCAACTTCAAGAGTAGCATCTGCCACATGCGTATTTTTTTTTCGAAAAATGCAAAAGAAACGGTTAAATTTTTTTTTTTGCAAAAACGCAAAAGGAACGATAAAAAAAATTTCAAATTTTTTTTTTAAAAAAAAACGAAAAAGACGATCAAAGTAAAGGTAAATACGTTAGACAACGTTGTTACCCGAAGAGATATTTTTAGCACATACTTAAAGATTAACCTTGAAGCGGTAATATCGTTTTCTCCGTATGATATTGCTTGTAACGAGTCAAAGTCAACGTTGAACAGTGGGCACGCGCATGAACAAAGTTGCGCAGAGGTGTCGCGCGCAACTTCAGAACTTGACAGTTGTGCGTGCCACTTGATAGGTTCGACAAAATTTTTTTTTTTTTTTGCGAAAACACAAAAAGAACGATAATTTTTTTTTTTTTGCGAAATTGCAAAAAGAACGATTTGTTTTTGTTTTTTTTGTTTTTGCGAAAATGCTAAAAAAACGATAATTTTTTTATTCTTTTTTTTTTTTGTCGAACCATAATGATTGCGAATTATTTTTATTATTTCTGTAGGTAACAAGTTGGAATTAGTTAGATTAGACACGAAGCACATATTCATGTAGTCACATAAGCACATAAAAGAAACCGTCAAAGCATATAATGCCATTCTAAGGTCAACGCTTGGGTATCCAAGGGTACCATATCTTAAGAAACGATGCACAAATCAATCACTCCACGTGTTGACTCATAACATCGCCCTCTCAACATTTTGTTGACGATATGGGTGGGATGATTGTTATTGATTTTGGGACAGAAGCCTAGTGTTGGCAACCCCTAGTCAATGAGCCAATCCCTAATGGTTAAAATGTGCTATGATTATGCATGATGCAATGTAGATTGTTTGATTTTTTTACTTTTGTGAAAAAGGAAGATATTATGCATTCGAGTCTCGCTCTTTAACTAGAGATAATCCAAGTTAGTTATCGTTACAATCCATAGGCAAGCTAGTGTTGGAAACCTTGAACCATAACTACGATCTAATCTTGTAACCTCTAAGTCCCCAGTTGAGTCGCCACTGTAAGAAGGGTGATCCCATCGTAAGGCGTACTCTCCTTAAATGCCCTTGGCCACTTAAAAGCCTAGGACTTTACACTTGTTAAGATGTAGTAGGATTTTAACAACCTGACTGTTAAGGGGACCTTGAATTAGAATTGATTCTATCATGACGCTTTTTTATAAGAAACAAGTAGGATTCGCCAATGAGTTTTAGGAAAAACTCATAAACCTCGTTCATGCCTTTATTCCATGTAGAGTTCATGGAATAATTAGCACAAATCATAAGTTTATTCCTTTAAGAAGGGAATCGTCATCCTAACCCTAGTACGGCTTCTGCTAGCTCCTCCTTTTTCACAATTTCATCACCAAACAATATATGCAACGCGATACCTATAACAATTTACAAAAAAAATTCGCAATTTCGGTGCGCCGAATACATCAAAGTTTTCAATGATCGCCTATCCAAATGGGGCTCATTAACCCTAAGGGATGTTAGAAACATCATTGCCCATCAAAGGTGCTTATTAGCCCTATGGGGCGTCAGGCAGATCATCGCCAATCCAAGGGGCTCATTAGCCCTTAGGAGTGTGAGACACATTATCGCCCATCCATGGGGCTCATCAGCCTTAAGGGGCGTCAGGCACATCATCGCCTATCATAGGGGCTCATTAAACCAAACATATATCCCCTTCCCAAAGGGGCTCCTGAGCACAAAAGGTTGTCAAACATAACAATAAATACAAGTATACATAAGCTAGCCATAACAATTTGTTTTTTCATTGATGCTGCTTTGAATACATAAGTCTACATGTTTCTTCACAGACACTTGTCACCCAGGAGGCTCGTAGAAAGAGTAAATTATATCATCTCCCATCGTAGGGGCTCTATATGAGGTGATCCGAAGACGTACCATTTTAAGACATGCCAAAAACTAAGACCGTAATCAGAAAATTGGCATTTTCACCATGCTAGAGGCCTTTTTTCTGCAATTTTGGTGGGCTGAATGCATCAAAGTTTTCCATGATCGCCTATCTAGAAGGGGCTCATTAACCCTAAGGGGTGTTAAACACATCATCGCCCATCCAAGGGGCTCAATTAGCCCCAAGGAGTGTTAGACATATCATCGCCCATCCAAGGGGCTCATTAGTGCTAAGGGGCGTTAGACACATCATCGCCCATCCAAGGGGCACTTCAGCTCTAAGGGGCGTGAGACACATCATCGCCCATCCAAGGGGCTAATTAGCCCTAAGGGGCGTCAGCCACATCATCGCCCTTACAAGGGGTTATTTGCGGGAAAGGTCACCAAACATATATCGTACCCCCCCAAGGGGCTCGACCCCCGCAAAGGGCGTCAAACATAAAATAAATACAAGTAAAAATAAGTTAGCCATAACAATATGTTTATTCAAAGACGCTTGTCACCGAGGAGGTTCTTAGAAAGCATCAATTATATTATAGCCAAATCTAAGGGCTCATTATAGGGTGATTTAATCATGTACCGTTCCAAGACATGCCTAAAAATGAGACCGTAATCAGAAAATGGCATTTTCACCATGCTAGAGGCCGTTTTTTTTTCGCAATATTGGTGGGCTGAATGCATCAAAGTTTTCTAGGATCGCCTATCAAAAAGGGGCTCATTAACCCTAAGGGGTGTTAAACACATTATCGCCCATCCAACGGGCTCATTAGCGCTAAGGGGCGTCAGACCCATCATCGCACATCAAAGGGGCCCTTTAGCTCTAAGGGGCGTGAGACACATCATCGCCATTCAAGGGGCTAATTAGCCCTAAGGGGCATCAGGCACATCATCGCCCATCCAAGGGGTCATTTGCCGAATGGGCATCAAACATATATCGTACCCCTCCAAGGGGCTCGACCGCCGCAAAGGACGTCAAATATAAAAATAAATACAAGTAAACATAAGTTAGCCATAACAATTTGTTTCTTCACAAACACTTGTCACGCTAGAGTTCTTACAAAGCATCAAATATATATTATCTCCCATCTTGAGGGCTCATTATGGGGTGATTTAAGCACGTACCGTTCCAAGACATGCCTAAAAATGACATTATAATCAGATAAATGGCATTTTAAACATGCTAGAGGCCTTTATTCGCAAATTCGGTGGGCATAATGCATCAAAGTTTTCCATGACCACCTATCTAGAAGGGGCTTATTAACCTTAGGGGTGTTAGAAACATCATCACCCATCCAAAGGGCTCATTAGCCCTAAGGAGTGTTAGAAATCATCGTCCATCAAAGCGGCTCATTAGCCCTAAGGGGCGTGAGACACATCATCGCCATTCCAAGGGGCTTATTAGCCTTAAGGGGCGTGAGACACATCATCGCCTATCCATGGGGTTCATTAGCCCTAAGGAGCGTCAGACACATCATCGCCCATCCAAGGGGATAATTACCCCGAAGGGGTACCAAACATATATCGCCCCCCCCCCAATGGCTCGGCCGCCCAAAGGGCGTCAAACATAAAAATAAATACAAGTAAACATAAGATAGCGATAACAATAAATTTCTTCATTGATGTTGCTTCAAATACATAAGTTTACATGTTTCTTAACAGACACTTGTCACCCGGGAGGCTCTTAGAAAGCGTCAATTATATTATCGGCCATCCTAGGGGCTCATCACGGGGTGATCCGAGCACGTACCGTACCAAGACACGCCTAAAAATGAGACCGTAATCAGAAAAATGGAATATTAACCATGCTAGATGCTTTTTTTCGCAATTTTGGTGGGCCGAATGCATCAAAGTTTTCCATGATCGCCTATCCAAATGGGGCTTATTAACCCGTAGGGGTGTTAGAAACATCATCGCCCATCAAAGGGTCTTATTAGACCTATGGGGCGTCAGACAAATCATCGCCCATCCAAGGGAATCATTAGCCATAAGGAGCGTGAGACACATTATCACCCATCCATAAGGCTCATCAGCCCTAAGGGGTGTCAGTCACATCATCGCCTATCATAGGGGCTCATTAGCCCGAAGCCGCACCAAACATATATCCCCCCCCCCAAAGGGGCTTTACATCACCAAAGGGCGTCAAACATAACAATAAATACAAGTATACATAAGTTAGCCTTAACAATTTGTTTCTTCATTGATGTTGCTTTAAATACATTAGTCTACATGTTTCTTCACAAACACTTGTCACCTAGGAGGCTCTTAGAAAGAGTAAATTATATCATCGCCCATCCTAGGGGCTCATTATGAGGTGATCCGAGCACGTACCATTTCAAGACATGCCTAAAAATAAGACCAAAATCAGAAAATTGGCATTTTCACCATGCTAGAGGCCCTTTTTCTGCAATTTTGGTGGGCTGAATGCATCAAAGGTTTCCATGATCGCCTATCTAGAAGGGGCTCATTAACCCTAAGGGGTGTTAAGCACATCATCGCCCATCCAAGGGGCTCAATTAGCCCTAAGGAGTGTAGGACATATCATCGCCCATCCAAGGGGCTCATTAGTGCTAAGGGGCGTCAGACACATCATCGCCCATCCAAGGGGCTCTTCAGCTCTAAGGGGCGTGAGACACATCATCGCCCATCCAAGGGGCTAATTAGCCCTAAGGGGCGTCAGGCACATCATCGCCCTTACAAAGGGTCATTTGCGCGAAAGGGAACCAAACATATATCGTACTCCCCCAAGGGGCTCGGCCCCCGCAAAGGGTGTCAAACATAAAATAAATACAAGTAAATATAAGTTAGCCATAACAATTTGTTTGTTCAAAGAAATTTGTTACCGAGGTGGTTCTTAGAAAGTGTCAATTATATTATAGCCCATCCTAAGGGCTCATTATTGGGTGATTTAAGC